CAGTTTTACGAGAGCTTGCAATTGATCGTGTAGAAGTGTGTGATGTGAGACAAGAACGCTAAGGTCCAAACGAAGATACCATAGGACGACACGGAGTGGTATAAAGAAACGAGACTGGTGAAAGATTTACGAATTTATGTCACTTCAACAGAATGGTCATGGATGGCACAATATTGCCCCCTGAACACGTATACAAAGCTATATGGGTTTCTCCTGACCACACTGCAGAGAACCAGATTGATCGTTCTTGAATCGCGAACAAATTTAGAAGGTCAATGGGAGACGCGAGAACCAGGAGAGATGACATAGTTTCAAATCATCACCTGGTGGTTGCTACGATGAAACCGAAGCTAAAGAAGGATTAAACAACTGGACAAACAGCATTAAACAGTATCAATACAGTCTTTCTTTGACGTTTTGATAAACTCAACCGATTCAAGATAACTTTTGACAAAAGGTTCCAAGCCTTACAGGATCCACTGAAAGAAGAAACTACAGTGGAAGACAACTAGAAAGGAATCAAACAAGCACTTATTTCAACATGTCAGGAAGTGCTGGGCCGCTTGTAGCATCATCATAAGGAATGGATCTTTATGGGGACCCTAGACAAGATCCAAGAAAAGGAAGGACAAGCAGACGGCAATTAACAATAGCCGAACAGGAGCAGAGAAATATAAGGTACAAGCTGAATACACAGAAGCAAACGAGCAAGTGAAGAAGAGCATCAGAGCGGACAATCAGAAATACGTGGAAGAACTAGCAACGTTTGCAGAAAAGCTATAGGAGAAGAAAATATCAGACAATCATTTAATACAGTGAAGAAACTAGCACGCAAATATAATAAACCAAAGAGACCGGCGAAGGACAAAGAAGGCAGGCCAATCACTGAGATTTTATCATTTCAACTATAATCAATTTGCCATATAGCTCGACTACAACCCAATCCCATTAGTGATAACGGATACATTTGAATTTCACAGGTCAATATTGCTCATCAAAACATTACGAACATCTTGAAGTCATTATTGAGTTGTTTATTGCAGATTTCTTCATGAATGCACAACGACTAAGGAACTTAATTGTAAGACGAATTATCTATTTATTGTTTCTTTGTTTTTAAAGGTATCTCAACTAAGCTCAACCTTTAACGAATACAACCAACAAGTCCACATAATCTCTTCAACTAAATTATGAAGTGACTAAAGTTTAAAAGATGAAATATTAAAATTTGACCCAACCAGTTTATACGAATGGTCTGACCCAAATCAAGAATATACACTTTAGTGTCGTAAACTAATAATTAGATTCTCAGTCATTACTATGTATGATTTCTAGTGTATTTCAAGCATAATCTATGCTGAGCTGTAAATAACCTTAATATAATAATAGAATTCACTGAATTTGACGTGATTATTACATAGAAATGAAGTATTGTATATCGAATATAAATTTATTTAATTAATTTAGAATCAAAAGGGGTTTTGTTGATTTTATAGTAATTTTAGTAGTTCATATAGAGTCAATTGAAGCTAGACCATCAAGGAAAATCTGGAAGCACTGGATGGCTGTTTCGTCCTATTATGGTACTCCTTAACAGTGCACATCCACGAACTTCACTAAAATAATCAAGAGAAATAATAGACACATATCTCAGTCGTATTCAAGATTTCCCATCATTGTATATCTTGTCAAGGGTTGAAGATATAGGATAAGAACTGTGAACATTCGATCGAAGTTGATTAATGTTGCTAAAAATAACATTTTAGTCACTATAAAGCTTGGGTATATGGTTATATTGAATTTCATCGCTCCTTCATTCCTGTTATCATTACAATTACTCTCTTTAATTTGATCTTCTCAACTTTCTACTATCGACATAAGTAGTATATACCATATGTACGATTTAGAGTAGATTAAGACAACGCTTTTCAGATACCTTGGAGCTTAACTTATTTTTCAATTATTATTATTCAGCTTACGAAAATGTATGTATGAAATACATTTGTTAAACTGAATGTAAAATACTTTGTTTCTTTAAAAAATATAAATTGGCATTAAGTTGAGAACAAACTGAGAGAATTTTTTCATTACCCAATGTGTATTGTTTAGTAATGTTCGTCATAAAACTACACCATACATATGGACAACCATTCATGACCCAAATATTGACAGCAAGGTTTTTAAAAAAAGCCAATTACAACTTCATAGGAGATAAACAAAGATGAATAAAGCCTAGCAGTGGAATCCAGGACGCGCGTTTCCTCCCAATTGAGACTCGTCAGCTGGATTTACCTGCATCTCTGGGACTCGAACCTAGTACCGTTCGCTTCAAACGCCATAGCGTTATCTACTTAGGGCGAAACGTGCGTCTTAGATTCCACTGCTAGGCTTTATTCATCTTTGCTTATAATGCTTGTGAACTAAGGCAATATCGAAGCAATACTCACTGGGTGCACAGTTGTCAATAAGAGATTGATCAATTGCAGTTCTAAACATCAACAGGAAGATTCAAGTAAACAATACCAAATGAATTCATAGAAGATAACTGATAAGAAAAATATCTATCCTCCCATTTTAAAGTATAAACCAACTATAGTTTGAAAGTGTGGTTACACAATATGCGTATTTATTTTAAAGTAGATTTTAGTCGAAACCTTAATCGCTTGTTTGAATTTAAAACTGTCATCTAAACTATGTAGCTACGTAAGCACTCTTGGATCGTATAAATGATTAAAACAATCATGGAAAACATTTGTGTTATCGATTTCGTCATATTATTTCCATTACGGCTTTTATTACTGACAAAGTGTTTATATTGATGTAGGTATAAGAAAGGTTCGGGATATCAGCTTATTACTCTAAGGCACTGTTCCGTTGATGAAAATTTCTATTTGTTTTTAAAGAGTCTAAACATAAAACTGATCTGTATAGGGTTGTGGAGATTGTTGAGGTTTTATTGATATCATAAACCAATCAATGTTATACTACCAATGCAAATCTAGAAGTACTGAATGATCGTCTCGTCCTAGTATAGGACCCACGAACCCGCAAACAAGACTCGAACCCAGTACCTTAGGTCCCGCTCACAAAAGCTTAACCCCTAGACCACTGAGAAGCTGTGACTGGTGGATATCAACCGTTTCAGTTGTGATGCAGTTACTCACAGAATATACTAGAGGATGGTCGCGTAGAACTGATCATTATCGTCTTCCTTGTTATTATTGGTGGGTGAATGGCACTGGATAACATTCATTGTGATAACCTTCTTTTTGTTTTGAAGGATGCTTTGATGATTCTGGACCCATTAGATTTCCACCTTACAGGTGCTTGACGTGCTTCTCTGTACAGCATCAGAGCATCTACCTGAGTCTGAAGAACACTTTCTTCTTCGTGACCAGAGTATAACATTATCTCTGTCGAATCTAATTTTTTCTGTCACTTCTTTTGAGAACCGTCAAGTTGTATCTCCTCATTTCCGAATCTGTTCGGTTGGTCCTGCTAGTGTTCCATATTGTCCGAATATTCTATATGCCTATATTAATTATTTCTCTTGTTGTTAGAAGGGGCATCAGCCTCATGACTTCCGAAGAATCTCGACTTTCATTATGAGCCATCATAATTTTTCCTTGAACTCGGACGGAAGAGTCTAAATGGTTCAACTTTCTCTTATTTAATGTTTTCTTTTTTAAGTAAACTTGTTTTCTACGAGATGGAGTTGCTGACGCCATACTCAATCTTTCTCTCTCACCTGGGCTTGGGACCGGTTATAACCTTAGAAGAGCTACAAGTGGAGTTTACTTTTAGCAAACAGATATTTCCACCAAATCAATATTATTACCTATAACGACGTGATCATTATTTCATATTAATAATTAATTCAAATGAACACAGTTTATATGATCATATAACTGATTTGTTAAATAAAGTATTTATCCAATCGAACCATGTACATGTAAGTTACAGTAAGATAAAACTTCATTATCTAAATTCGAGTTCAAATAGAATAGAATTCAAAATTCAGATTTAATAGATAATATCATTAAATGTTTATCAATGTTCAATCTTATCTCATCTATCAAAGAAATAATGAAAACAAAACAAACACATTATACATGGCAATGATTACAATAAGACAATTATTACGTAACGCTATTATTTCATCTATTATAAATGTTTATTTGATATAATAAAATAAATTATTAATTAAACTGATGATAATTTCAAATGGTCAAGATCATGGGTCAGTTGAAGCTAGACCACCATGGGAAACCTGGAAGCAATGAACGGCCGTTTTTATTCCTATTGTGGGACTCCTCAGCAGTGCACATCCATGAACTTGCCCCCTGCGAGATTCGAACCCAGGCACTTAAACACCAAACCACTAAGGTCCTGGGTTCGGGTGTCGCAGGGGGCGAGATCATGGATGCGCAATGCTGACGAGTCTCACAATAGGAATAAAAACGGCCGTCCAATGCCTCCAGGTTTTCCATGATGGTCTAGCTTCAACTGACTCATGATCTTAACCATTGAAATGACTACAATCTCCACAAAACCCATCTGATATTAAATTGATAATATTTAACCATAAAAAGAGAAAATTATTAATATACAATAAGAACAATGTATTTGTAACAAAAATGTACATAGATACATGTATAATCATTTGTATGAATGTGCAGGTCTGTGTGTGTGTGCTTATATAAAACTATAAAATTGAATGATGTATCTTTTACAAAATGAAATTCTACATCGAAACATAAAACAGTAAAAGATGCTAATGTAATATCATTGAGAAAATATCATAAAGAATTATTATGTTTATCACGACGAACAACCATAAAGAATGGACTGATGTAAGAAAAAGAGAAAGACCCTTATATATATATATATATATATATATATATATTCAATAGATTCCGACCTATGCAACTATAATGACTGTCATCATTACTACTGATTTCTATTAGATTTAAGAAAAAAACAAACTCTAACAAGATAATTTAATGAGCTTTATTATGGTATTTATTATCAACTATTGATCCATTTAGTGCATGAACTGGTTTCTCGTAGGCCTGAGTTAGAGAAAGACAGAGAGAAAAAAGTAAATATTGTTACGAATAAAATAAATTTGTTAACACATTATTGCATTTTAATAATTTACATTATGAACACTGTGTTGATTTTGATCATACTTAGTAGTGGAGTCAAGTGTCAGTATCAGTTATTTATCAATACCATTGGAAGTTGAATAGATAATCATATGAATTGAATTAAGTTCGAATACTAAACTATTAGATGTTCGTTAAGTGGTTTGAAGGTAAGGAGCTCGTTGTGAGATTTGAAGGTTTTGGGTTTGATTCCCACGGTGAGTTACTGAATGAGGACTAATGAGAAGTTACAAATCAATATGAGATCGCTTATTCATTACTCCCTAGTTAATAATGTCTGTCTAACTAAAGTCAATCGGTGAAATTATAAGAATAAGTCCAACTTTTCACAATTCCGCTATCTAATAATATAATTTTGAGTTAAATCGATTACAATAGATTGTGTTAGATATAAAACATGTGAAAATAGTATAACTAGTCTAATTAGATCAGGTTCAGATACTCCGACTGGTCGTTCCAGTTTATAAGAAAGAAGAAATCTACTCTCATAAAAATCACAAACGAAATTATTTGATTGATATATTATCTAAATATTGTCTACAATATTAATTCGAACCTTATCTAGAGGTCATGAAGGACGAATTCTAGAAAGGCTTCCCGGCATCATATATGGGTGTGGAAAAACAGACCAAATATTCACCCTTAGTCATGTTAGGGAACAGATATATTTTGTGAAGTTCCAAAGAAATCTTACTTTTTGGCCTTGAGACAGCAGTCAATTGTGTTTGTTGTGAGGTTATTTGGCAATGTCTGCCAGTAAAAGACATATCATAGACGTACATCAACCTTGTTTAGGCTCTCTACTCGAACACTACTGGTCACGTTAGAGCTTATGGGTAACCGTAAGTTGAATTATCAACCTTATTTGGTATTCGTCAAGGTTGTTCAATTTTCTCATTTTTGTTTAACTTCACCATAAAGATTCTTCTGCAAATAATACTCCAACCAGCTGACTTTCAAAGGGTCGGCCTTCTAACAGGATGGTACAATCCTGTTTGATGAAGACACTGACAAAATTCATTCTTCTGATAACCCTAAGTAACAGTGCAAGCATACTTGGGATGCACTCCTGATGAGAAATATTATTTAAAGATTGGTCTGTGTCAATCCTTAAGCTAACGAGAGGGACAGAGAAAGTAAAGTAGTTGAGCTTGTTGATCACTTCATTTATCTTGGAAGTCTCATCGGACTTTGTGTGTTGGCGTCTGACAAAATTTTGATATAAGTACTGAAACCTGTTTTAAGTTTGCCAAATTAAATTACTTGTGACGTAGACAGGATATCTATCTACAAACCAAAGGACGACTTATATCGGCAGCAGTTCGTTTAGTTCTACTTTATGGATAAGAAATAAAACTATTAGGAAAAAAGAATTTTCGTAGATTAATAGCACTCAATCACAGATTTCTTCGAGGTATTGATCGTCTATGTCAAGACCATCGAGTAAGTAATACTGAGGTTATATACAAAGTACTTTATAAAGAGGACAAATCAATTAGAGGTAGTATACCTTCATTGAGAAGTAGTTAGGACGTATATTAAGAAAGTCCGTCTAGACTTGAAGAGAGATAGGGTATCCAGAACAAAACGAAAATCATTGACAATTCAAATTAGCCATATAGGTAAATAAGGCTATCTAATTGGTATCCTCATGACAACCGCGATTAGTGGTTAGGGACTTTGGGTGACAAGATTCAGAATCATTTGCAGTGTCACAGATGCATTTCTTCTTTATCTTCTTTTAGATCCTGGATCTCAAATCCCTACAGACGTTTTTACACTTTAATTGCTGGTCTTCCTTACTACCACAATCACTATTACTACTTCTACTACTCTTGATAATACAACCTCGTTTTGATAATATTGTATGGCAGCTTGAATTGATGTATATTTGTGCAGGGTTCCATGGTGCACATGAACAAGTGAATAAATAGTGAAAGGTTGACGACACAATATAGTCAACTTGGGTACAAGGACAAACAATGACAAGAAAATCTGGCATGAAGGTCAATGACAAACAAGACCATCAGGGCATACTGGTATAAGGCTAGTGGAATAACTGAAAAAGATCACTTCTCAATGAACTAAGCTCTGACGATGTCATGAACAAAACAATGAAATCTCCACAAATAAATCATCTAGTTCAGAGAACTCATTCTATCTATACTTACTTTGTAATAAAATTTGGAAAATAAAAAAAGAAAAATCAATGCTGATGCCAAAATCCAGTAACTGAAAAATTTTGGATAATTACAATCGGTTATACTCAATGCATATGTTGAGTGAAAAATAACAATGATGAATTGGGTTATTTGAGCTGCAGTTAAGTATCTGTATAAAATACAAAAATATAAAGTCAGGAATTAATTAACCATTGCCACTACATTACATATAAAAATATCAGAAAATACTCTTACTCAAATTGTAAAACGTAGATGGTCAAACGAATCAGTCATGGCAGACAATACTTATTTTCCTAATCTTAAGTTAATGCGCCTGACATTTTTAGTCTTTTATTACGATCTCTATTTCTGTAGACATTGAATACATCAGCGTCTGTATGTTTTGTTGGCAAACGCATGACGCATGGTACATGTGGGTCAGACAATGAACATTGATTGTTATAGACCTTAAGTGATAGTAACAATGAGTCTACTGCCACTGAGATAATACGTAAAATCAGTGACGTTTTAATCAAGAACTCGAAAAAATTTTATACTGAATAATTCAAAAGCAATGATTTTCCGCATATGTACCACGGTAACCTCCATTACGCTTTAGTGTAAAGTGACTGGAGACTAAAATGTTTAAGAAATGTATGGAAAATTGAATACGCAACATTGATCTGAAACCTATGTATTCAGCGTTATTGTAAAGTAACAGTTCACGTCTTCGAAAGATACAAGCTGAAGTAAAATTTCTGATAAGTAAGGTAATAATATTGAATATTAGAAATGTTGTAGACAATATATTCCTTATTATATATTGAAAACCTACTTTTTCCACCATATATACTTTGAAAACGAGGTCCAGCTGCAGCCAAACCATAGTAAGTATACATAAAGGCATGGACGATACAATTTAAAAATGCATGAAAAGTTCCTAAACCACCTGAAAGAAAAATAAAAATTTTTCTTGTTATATAGTGATGGATTGAGGAATTAATTTTAGGAAATGCATGGTAGTTTAATGGTCAATGTTATGTAGGCATTATGTAACCAGAATGTATTTTTAGGAACATAATAAACACTGTTAATTTATCTGATATCAGTCATTAAAAATTGAATGCATCTAAGTCGAACTTAAGGTGGATCAAACAACAGATCAACTTTAAATAACACCATATAAATTACGTAAGAACTACATTATGTGAATAATTATAATGGAAGCTAAGAAAATGAATAATGCTCACCTGGAACATACTTCACACCGTACCACCAGGAAATAGGCATGATTGCATGATGAAAAACATGAAGAAAGCTAACTAACTCAAATTTCTTTCGGAGGATAAACAATACGGTGTCAAATAACTCAATTATTTTGGAAATGAAAAAAACCCAGCAAGTACTAGCCATACGCATAGCAATCGGTCTTCTTGAATGATCAATAGATTGACAACCAAGCGAATATCCTGTAAACCATCCTGAGACAGCAAATTCGTACACTAGCCAACTCGAAAGCAGAACTAGAGAAATGTTGTAAACGATCATAAGTGGCCGTAGGTTAAACGGTGTTTGGTGCTTTTTCATAATTTTTGGACCCAACCAGAGAACAAAAGTTAGATACAGTAGAACAGTAACAAACACAGGTGTTGGATCTTTCATTAGTGGCCAGTTTTCAACTCGTGGATCAGCTGGAGGGAGGATATTAGCCATAATATCTGGTATCAAATAAGAAAAGTGATAACGAAATCAGGTAACGATAACGTCGGTCTTATCTATTTAGGCGTACATTCGCATCAGAGAAAAAGGCATTGTGGCGGAAAGAGAACAAGGAAGCGGTACAAAAAGATGGTTGTCGTATTTTAGGCTACTACACTAGGGAATTCAAACTGTTATTGAGGTGTTTACAATGAACGTAGACATTCTTTATTTCACTGAATTTACTGCAAATACCCAAGTGACACGAACAATTAACAGATACCTACACCTTAAGCTTGTCAGTACGGAGCGGTGAGTTCAAAAAGAGGTTTCAAAGCACTACTATGCACATCAAAAATTCGCAAGTCAATCCCGGACATCCATACAGTATGACTAAAAAACCCTTCAAGAAGCTGTTTTCAGGCATGTACACTCGTTTACACTACCAGAGCGTTTATATATCGTGTCAATCTCAAAGTAAGAAACATAAGTTACTTCCAAAAAAAGGTACACCAGAGTGATTGCGGTCGTAACAATCTTGAAACATCGCATTTCTAAAGTCATCGTCACTACATTTTATTCTCGGTTCTTTCCTTCTGCTACTAATCGTAATGGGTTAAAAGTACCACATATTCATAAGCTTAAGCTACCACACTTCATTTTAGAACGATGAAAGGAAATCATTCTGATGAAATTAATGAAGCCTCAGTAAAACCTCAAATAGTTTGCTTTATAATCATCGACAAAGAGTAGTAAAAGGAATTGCCCTTTAGTTATTCAGAATTTAGGTTTGTCAAAGTAATATTAGATATTCAAGTATCTAAAAATTGCAACAAACTCATTATTTATCCTCGGAACTTTGGTAAACTGCTGTATTCCCAAAATTTAGTGTTGATTATAATTAACTCTGAATCAGTAACCAATTACAAACGCTCTTGTTAATGACGATGTTCGTTGTAAAATCTCACACCTTAGACGTATTCTTGTACCTGGATATTTAACTCAACAACCACATACAATTTCAGGTACTTTGTTTCTGTGCACAAATTCTGTCTCTCTCAAAGCCGAAGAAAGAATAATCGGATTTAAATGTGTATTCCAGAGGTTCGAGTTATTTAACCATGACACAAAAACAATCAGCGAACATGACGGCGAGTCCTAAAACTTTCTACAGTCATCAAGATGTCGAAACAATCATCCCTATATTATAACGTTTAGTGCGGAGTTAGTATCAGCGCTATCAGTGCAATGCAACTGCATCATAATCGTAAGTAAGAACGTAATTGGTTGAAACACATTCTGTTATGCAGTTACTCTGGTTTTGTGAGGCAAAAACAAGCATTAGATCTAATAAGTGTTTTTTTTCGAAAGTAAAGATATTTTGTCTTTAGGTTTTGGAGATTGAATTTTATCGTGAACATTGCGTATTGAGCATCATTGAGAATATTTAGCTCCTAAAATTTCTGTACTTTGGGTCGAGTTATCGGCATAATTCCTACAAGACCAACAATGAAATATATTAGGTAATAAGAGTAATTCATTATGATGCTTGAGTTTTGTGTGCTGTGAACATGAAAAAGATGGGACATTACTTATACTGTGAAATCGTTAGCAGTATTTCGCGTGGCACTTACCTTATAAGTTGGACAGCACTGACCGCACACGATAAAAACTTTATATTTGAACAGATGTGTATTTTGGTACAACTGTGGTGAAGATTTAAAACAAATTACGTGTTCAGGAAGCTCTTTCTGATTTTTTGTGTATTGCTTATCTTTTTAAAGTCTCTAAAATGATTAGGTTTCGATCACCTCTTTTAAATGGATTTATTGTTGGTTCAGAGCGTTTCGTAAGAAACTATGTGATGCTTATACTCTTGCTGTTTTTCAGATTCATATACTGGTTTGTGTATTAAATACAGAAGGCCTACATAGTGTGTTATTTATTTTTCTAGTATGCTTCTATGAGTGTCTAGTCTTCTCTTGAATGAGTCAACTGAATGTGCGGACACCCCTGTTTCGTTAACAGGTTCCAAGAATTGATGACTCGGTGTGAAAACTTGTATGCTACGGGTATTTTGTTCGTTCTTGGCTTTTCCACTCGCCTGCTATGTCCTCCGAGATGTCTCGATCTAGTGGGAAGAAAAAGGGAGGATATATTACGTTCAAAATCATTTCTTATTATTCTATTCATCAAAACTAGATCACCTCTTAATCTGCGATAGGACAGAATAAAGAGGTTGTAGCAGTAACTAAGTCTTCAAACTAAATAGCTCTGTAAGTTTTCGACATTAGATGCTAACCACCTAGCTGAGGGCGCTCGGTCTTGCATCCGCCACAGATCACGAGTGGGAACGTCGTCCTCAACAACCCCTGCAATCGCTAGCCTAATTAGATCTGTAGTGTTAGTCATTAGTTTTAGCTCTTAATATATTTTATTCTAGCTTTCGGACATACCATTCTATTCATTCTACTTGAGTCATGTTTTGACCTTGTTAATTATTCGCTTATTAGCCTTGACTGTTTTCACATGAGCGTACATGTGTGTACACTTCATGTCCGATGACTCATCACATGTCTGTAGTTCATTGTGTCTGCCTATAAATATTGAGTAATGTTCGGCTTGAATTGGAGTTGGCTTCCCAGCCATCTTCCATACAATCTGAAATGGATTCGAGAACCACGGGCCACTAAAGTGGTGAGCCCTCCAACGAGTATCGTCGATCTAAATGGGGACAAAATCAAACAACGGGCCACTAAAGATCAGACAATCCTTGATATATTGATAGCCTATCAAATATATCTTCAAACCTCCTCACTTCTGTCTTTTGATTTCACTTGGTGGGTACGCTTCATATTAGGTGTTACTAGTTAAAGCGTTGTCAAACTCTGAATACCTGTGGCATCTTCAAGATCTAGCTTTTGGAGCCGCTTTTTGTATCGTAAACCCTGGACTTAGGAAATTGCGCAGTTATCTGCCCTCTGTACTTTTTCCAGGATATACGAGTCACCTTTTAAACAGGAGGTTGCAGCCCGAACGAAGTTCTTAAGTTTAGTTCTCACTAAGCTTGTGCATACTGTAGTGAACTTGGTAGTATCTAACTTAGTGAATGTTGATCTGAAAGCTTAGAGGGTTCTAATCCCCTTAGTCTCGACCTCTAGTAGATGCGCCGTGGTCCTAAATAATGACTCACTGTCATCCCAAGATCCTTATGAGACCAGACTACGGGTAATGGCACTTCCCCTATGCTGTATTCATAAGGACTGAACTGCCAGTATTCGGTTTGAACGCAGGACTGACGAACCAAAATGTATTCGAATAGGCCAGACTACGTTCTTCTGTATGGCTTTGAGACACTCGTATTAAATTATATCAAAACACAAATTGTGTGCTCAATGTAAACAGATATAATTCAGGAAACAGAAAAAAATTATATCAAAAATAAAAAATACCTCAAACGGTATAGCCTGTGCTATACAGCCAGAAGTTTCTCTAACGCAATGCAGAGCGCTAAACAATAAAAGAAACAGTTAATACCAAAAGGTTCGACAACTGAGAATCAATAAAAATATTCCCAACAAGATGGGATCAAATATCTGTTTGCACGGATTCCAGCAATCCTCCCGAACAGACATTCAAAAAGTTTACAGCCACACACTGAGACACGCCGTGACCTCGAGCTTGGTCAAACACGACCTTACTGTTAATAGTCCGGTAACATGCAATAGAAAATTAGGTAACAAAAGAGAAGTCTTTAATCAAAATGATATAATAAGGGCTCAGACGAGGAATACTGAAGAACAAAAGGTATGGTTCAACAAGATCTGAACAAAGGTTAAAATATACGATAGGGAGAAGAAGCAAATCAATGACAGTACTGTCCAACAAAAAAACTGCCGAGGGATTTTCATTGTCCTTTTTTCGTTACAGCACCTATTAACTTTTGTATCCCCGAAGTGCATTAGACACACTTTGCGGCGTTGATATGCATCAGCGACCATTTATATCACTTGATCACATCATTTAAATCTGCCTGAAGTGCGCATGTATCTGTGTCTCCCGTTATTACTCACTAGATTTTACATAGTAGGCGTCTAATAACATTGGGTATTGTAACATACTTGGGAAATCATTTACATACAGTTTAAAAGGTAAAGAACCTGAGATAGAACCTTAAGGTACCCAACTATGTACTGGTCTCCAGGTAGAGCGCTTGGAATTTTTTTCTTATTTTCCGTCTACGACAGCATTCACTGAGTTTCCACCGCCTAGCGTCTTTATCCAATGCTCCCTTGCTATTAAGTTTGTTGTGCGAGATAAACCCTTTCTGAAACCATGTTAAACGCAGTTTAACAAGTTGTTGATTTCCAAAAATTTCATCATGGTCCTTTCGACTATTCTTACCAATATTTTAACTACAATACTGGTGAGGTTGATAGGTCTGTATTTCGATGGAAGTTGTCTTGGTCTTGTTTTATGTATGTTAGTGGTGATTGCATGCTTCCAGCTGATAGTTAACACGCATTGGTCAAGTGACATTGAATGGCACTGTCAGTGGGGCTGCGATACATTGTGCAGTATGTCTCAGGATTTTTGGATGTAGTTCATCCGGACCTGTTGAATTTTCTATGTCTAAGGTACTAAGAGTCCTAAGTTCATCGTCCTGATCAAAGTCCACAGTAAGCAGGGGGTTCGTTGACTTTGTATTTGGGTCTAAAAGAGGTTCCTGAATGAAAAATGCCCCAAAATATTTAGCCATAGCATCTGTTTTTCCATGATTTTCCTCTATCGTTTCAGATTCACTTCCTTCTTTAATTAGGTTAAGAATCCAGTGATGTTCTTGAGTCAACTTCCCAGTTTTCAGCCGATGCTGCAGAGTTGGTTGAAACCCTGTCCGCCTTCCATATGTTGGGACGGGCCGGCGCAATAGTTTGACAGGCCATCTCAGCCATGAGTTTGATTAATAAGACTGCATGATCGCTTCTCCCTCGAGGTCGAGAGAAAGTAATTTGACGGACGTCACCATTGTGTGTGAAGACTAAATCCGAGAAAGACGAGGAGCTTTATGAGTCATATCTGATGGGATCTCTAGTATGTTGGAATAAAGCTGGTGCAGTTGAGGTTTCTTAGAATTTGCAATCGAATGACGTTATCAATTACCTTACTTTTAAGTTTACCCAGTTTATATACGGTGCATTGAAGTTGCCTACTATAATGCTTCCACCCCAATTACACCGGAACTTAAGTTTGCTTAGGAGGAAGTCATCTATTACATATTCTAGACTGCTCTATACTACAACCCATTCAATATTTTGCCGTCTACATTTCAGCCTGAAACGCACTAGTTCAAATGTCCCTGAATCATGTGTCACTGTCTCAAATGCTCTTATGGTTAAGATACTGTTCGTGTACATGATAACCTCGACTCCCCTACGGTTTAATATACCAACTCTGCTGGATATAAAACCAGTCAACTGAATTTCACTATAAAACAATTCTGACAGTAACCATGTTTCTGGAACTGTATTAACATATGGGTTTTCTATATCCACCACTGCCTTGAGCTCCGCCACTTTATTTGACACGCTGCGAGCCTTTGTGTAGCACACCTTTAATTTTGTGGTGAACTTTCCCTTGCCACCAAGGGTGGTTTGAGGGTCGTTTGGCTCCAAAACTTTACAATTTAAAAACCCTGAATTACAAGGTTTCTTTCACCGTTTCGGCGGCGCTCATTTATTTCTATTTCTTCAGCTCGTTTCTTGGTGCTGTCAACTAGGCTGAAACCAATTCCAATCACTTTGCGTGAGTTTTGCAGTATCACGTTTCTTTCTTCAACTGTAGCAAAAGTAACCTACAAGAAACAGGTTCTCTCAGTACTTTCAGAATCCACCTTTTGGACTGTAGTGTCAGTCATCATTTTAAGCCCATATATCTTATTCTAGCTTTCGAGCATTCCTTGTCAATTATTCGCTTATCAGTCTTGAATGCTTTTATATGAGCGTATGTGTGTGTGCTCTTCTTAACCCATTAATCACATGTCTGTAGCTTTATTTTGTCTGACTATAAATATTGAGTAACGCTTGACAAAATGGAGTTGGCTTTCCAGCCATCTTCCCTGCGTGTCATTTTTGCTTTGCTCTGTTTCATTCGCTTCATGTGCAAAATATATGTATTCACAAGTCAATTCTCGTTATTCGACTTATTTAATTCCGT